GCAGGAGGCAAGTAGGAACTTTGACCATGCTTGTTAGAACCAACCAGCCAACGATGAAGAGACATTACTTGCTCTTTCGTGCGCATGCGCATAACGTAGCACATTAACGACCACTAACTTTAACGAATAAGTGGCTGATGTTAAATTTGTTATGATTAATGGAACGCTATTTTTTCTAGGTTTACAGTAATCAAAACACTTGATCATCTTCAAAAGTAAATGTATATACATTGCATTAGTGATAATTTCTTTTATTATATTTTATTATATTAACAATGGTATATAAAGAAATGGAGTATTATTCTTACATGCAATAGATAAATAGAATATAGTACATGCATTTCATGTGGCATGGCATGGATTACTATTATACAGTGATTACAAATATGTTTTTAATTAAAACAAATGGTATGGTCTTGTGTACACTAAAGGACAGGAAACCATTACATATTCAAAAAGAAAATCAATATGAAACAGATATTTCCATTAATGAATGATAAATACAATGCAGCTGCTGGATTGTGTGAACACATGCAATAAAATAGCGTGATTTGGTAGCATATAATTATAACTGTGATACTGTTGCTATTAGAATAGAGTATTGTTTCCATAACATACATGTACAGTATAGTAAATGAATGTATGCCCTCATGACTGCTCACAATAGAGCATTGTCTAATAATGCTCATGACTCATGAAAGAGGACTAAGAAGATACTGATTGAACATGGTTGATTGATATATATGGTGCTCTGTGTGGTTAGTAAAACTATGACAGTCTTCCCTTTGTGCATTACATGTACAGTATATGATTATGTGCATTCACTATTTGTCTCGTTCTCTTTCTCTTTATTTCTTAATTCCCTCAACTTTCTCTTTTCATTCTCCCTTTATTGTCTTTTTTTATTTCTTTCCTTCTATTTTTCTCCTCCTTTATCTCTCTTCAGGTTGTTATGGTCTGCTACTAATCCTGGATTATTATTAAGGTGATTATTCTCCAAGTGCAGTTGTTCAGTCATAAATTGTAAATAATTTTATCAGGCAATTTACTACTTGAGTTGTTATTGCACCAGCCTAAGTTGGCAATTGGCAGGTATAGAATATCCTTCTGGGAGTTAAAAAGAGGGGATATGTTAATTACATTTTAGCTAGCTGCTATTACATGTATGGTGTACACATAATTTTTATAATTTTAGGTACACTCAGAGAGTTATGTCGTTTCTGCTAATATTGAGCACACTAGA